CTGCGTGAGCCAGTGAAGTGGGTGGAAAAAGCAGAAACAGAACTCAGCATTTACCGAAATTGTTAAATAACTGATTTAGTAAGTGGATAACATATCTTTGGTTCTCACTTCTTCAGAATAAATACTACTGCTGGTATGGTCACTGGAGTAATGTTGTTTCTCCTCTAAAACTCAAGGTTTTAATCAATAGATGAATCTTTTTCCTTCCCTTTTACTTTGTTCACTACATATATACCCCCTGAATTCCAGCCATATAAGAAGTGTAACCAGGAAGTTATGGGAGTGGACTTTTGATGTCCGGGTTCTCTCCCCAGTTCTGTCTCAAGCAAGCTGTGTGGCCTCGGATAATTTGTAGAACTTCCCTAAGTCACAGTTTCCTTTCCTGTAAAATAGAGCCAATAATGTATTATTCATTGGGTCATTGTAAACATTAAATGAGAATATAAACAACTTAGCACAATGCCTAATGTAGTTATGCTGGAACGTGTTTGTTACAAAAATAATGTATAATATTCAAACCTCTATCTCTTCTCTCATCAAACAAAAACATGTTTTTCTACTCCCTTTAATAATAAAACATGTATCTTAAACATATCCTTAATTGTATTTGGTTAAAATTAGAAACTGTTTTTCCCATCATTATCCAAAAATCAGTTTTGTATGCCTCCCTGGTGTTGCTCTGATCCACTTTCAGAGCAGAATAGTCCCATCTCAGTCCACTGACGTCTCTTTATCCCTTCCTCCTACCTACCTCTTCCTTAGTCCACCTAGTAGAATATCTCACTGTACCTTCTCTTTTTAATCTCTCTCTTCAAGTATTTGGCAACTCAAACAGATATTCTATCAGGAATATCAGTTCTAGAGGTACAACTTTCTCAGAGGAAAGTCACAAAGTTTAATGAGAAGATATAGATATAATAACAAATCAATGCAAAAGCACCTAGATAGTTAAAAATTACAAGAAAATTTATCTGAATTCTCTACAAGTCTTCATCTCCTATTTCACCTTCATTGAATAAGGTCTCCTTTCCATAAATAAAACATTCTCTTATATTTCAATATGTTGTTTTCAATTATATTTATTAACACCAAACAGTATTTTTTGCATTTTTTATTGCAAGTATAAGGTATTTCAGGCCTGAAATAAGACATTTGTATAAATAGTTAATTTTCGTTCAAAAATATTTTACCATTTCTCATGTGTCTACCAAAACCTGGCGCATAGTAGGTACTCAATAAAAAATTCACTGAAATGCATTAAAATGTGCTGAGTGGTACTTATTTACTTATTTGCCCAACCTTAATATATATCATCAACCTTATTC